TACAGGATACCAGTTGAAGTGTTTCAATAAATAGATACAGCCCTGGATGCACCATTCTATGCCAAGGAATTGGGAAGACAAATACTTGGACAACTGACTGGAAGAGATTAATATTTGTTCTCATTTCCAAAAAAGATGATACAATAGAGTATGGAAATTAGCAAACAATGTAACTAATATCACATGCAAATAAAGTCTTGATGATTATAAAAAGTGGCTGGAAGAGTACATTGATAGAGAATAGTCAGAAATTTAAGTTGGACTTAGGGGCAGCTGAAAGACTGGTGGTATCATTGCTGATGTCATAAAGATCTTGGCTGAAAGCAGAGAATACCATATAGGTGTCTATTTATGTTTTCTTGACTATGCAAAATGAGTGGATCATAATAAATATTGTTTAGCATTGGAAAGAACTGGAATTTCAGAACACTTAATTATGCTCATATGAAATCTATGTCTAGACCAAGAACTTGTTGTTTGAACAGAGCTAAGGAACACGGCACTGTTTAAAATCAAGAATGATGTGCATCAGGACTGTATCCTTCTCCATATACAGTCAATCTATTTGCTGAGAAAATAATTTTAGAGGCTGGACTTTATGAAGAAGAGTGTGGCATCAGGATTAGAGGAAGACTTATCAATAACCTGCATTATGCAGATGTCACAACTTTGTGTGTTGAAAATAAGGTAGATTCGAAGGACTTGTTGCAGAAGATCAAAGAATATAGACTTCAATATGGCTTGTGTATCAACATCAAGAAAACAAAAATCTTCATGACTGGGTTAATAAGCAACATCATGATAGATGAAAATAAGATTGAAGTTGTCAACAATTTCATCTTACTTGGATCCACAATCAATACCCTTGGCACCAGCAATCAAGAAATCAAAGATGTATTGCATGGAGTAAACCAGCTGTCAAGGACCAAGGGTGCTAAGAAACAATGATGTCAGTTTAAAAACTAAAGTGTATTGGATTCAACCCGTGGTTACTTATTATATATCTGAAAGTAGGACAATGACTAACGATGACAGAAGAGTTAATGCCTTTGAGGTTTGGTGCTGGAGAAGAGTATTGAATATACCATGGATTACCAGGAGAACAAACAGGTGCACTCTTGTTATGTGCTGTCGAGTCACCTGTAACCCATAGTGACCCTGTGTACTACAGCAGCTCTGAAGCCTGCCCTGTCCTGAGCCAGTCTCACTAATTCCAACACACCAACCTCCGTTTCCTCAGTCACTGTATCTGTCAATCCATCTCATCAGGGGTCTTCCTCTCCTGCACTGTCCCTTCATCCTTCCAAGCATGATGCCCTTCTCCAAGGATAGGTCTCTCCTGGCCACATGCCCAAAGTATGTGAGATGAAGCTTCAAAATCCTACCTCCAAGGAGAAACTTGTTTTCATCCTCTCCAAGACAAATCTATTTGTTTTCTTGTCAGTCCATGGTATGGTCAAGACTCTTCTCCAGCACCAGGCTGCTCCTTGGAGGCAAGGATTCCAAGGCTTTGTCTGACCCTCTTTGGGCATGTTGTGAGCAGGTACCAGTCCTTGAGAGGAGCATCATGCTTGGGAGGGGTGAGGATCAGTGCAGGAGAGGAAGACCTTGGATGAGATGGGTTTACGGTGACTGTGGAAGTGGGGATTAGGTATGTTGGAGACGGTGAGTTTGATTCAGGATAGGGCAAGATTCAGTCATAGTCGACTTCATAGCACATCACTCCCCCCCCCCCAATAAAGTACTGAATAGCCCATGGACTGTTGAGATAACAAGCAAATATTGGTGACAGGGAAAGTAGAGTGTTTATTAGAGACAACGATCATGAAATTCCATCTCACATTAATTTGGGCATGTTGTTAGGAGGGGCTGGAGCAGTTGCCCTACCACCACCACCACCATCACCACCACCACCACCACCACAACCATCACCACCACCACCACCATCACCACCACCACCACCGCTTGATCACTTCCTGAGAAACCTGATAACATCTAAGCTGGTCACATCAAAGACCAGACCAGACAATGGATCCTGATAAGGGTCTGAGCCTGATCAAAATAGCCCAAACCTAATTAACACCCCAAATTCTGAGAAATACCATCTTAGTCCTTTCCAGGACCCCTGTAAAAAGAATCCCCCCAACCCCCCAAACTGCCCACTTGCCATTTTGATCCTGTCCGCATGTTGTGCGACTGGGCCACTTGGGATCCCTTTTAGACCTCGCAATAAAGCCCTGTTCGTTTCTTGGGACCAGTTTCTCCTTCCTTCCTTCCTTCCTTCCTTCCTTCCTTCCTTCCTTCCTTCCTTCCTTC